TATTTTACAAACAGGTAGAATTTCAAAACTCCTGTTGTCATATAAAGAATGTTACTAAGGAGGCAATCACAATACAGTGCCTTTGATGTATTAATCCAGTTTTGCTGGAAATGTTCCACTTTCAAGTTGTTCTTCCCATTTTTCTAACCAAGCGTTCGGACACATTGCCCTGTATACTTTTTGGAAGTATTGACAAGCCTCATACTGTTCGCTATGACGATTCTTACAACGTTGAAAATCCACGAAACTAGTGAAACAATATCTGCATTCAAAATAAACAGAAGTAAATAACTTTAAAGCAAATAGTTGTAGATAATAAAAGAATGATGCACATTCATCATTGATTTACCTTGTCTGGTTTTGATTTGGGAATCTTGGGTCATATGGTGCTGTCATAGGTTTTAGTTTCTCCCCAACAATTGCTTGAGTATGCCCAGTTCCAAATTCTGTGTATCTAACCATACTGTCGCTGCTTAACAAGTTACAAGGAATACTTAATCTATCATGTTTATTGAAAGTGCTATAAATTGTTACCCTTCCCTCTTTTGCTACAAGGCAAACTCTCTACATATTTGTCTCTCGCTTTTAATCCATTTGTCTCTTGCACCACTAAATACACTATCACAAACAATAATTGTTTCTTCACTATACTTCCTCTTTCTTTTCATAATATGTTAATAGTGATTTTTTTAAGTTGAAATATGTATTTTATGATTTTTGGTTAACATATGTACTGTACACTGTATTTAGTAGTTGAAAAAACGAGCTTCTTCATGTTTGCAAACTAATTCTGCATAGTACTTGTTTACCAAATAATAAAATGCTTTACCTCAAAGCATATTTAAACTTTAAATAATTTTAGCACTAATAAAGGTCTGTTTTTGTTAATCTTCTTTTTAGCTGTTTTATGCTTAAATGCAATTACGATGTAGTTAAAATACAGCATCTTTTGAAACCACAATCATTCTAGATAAAGCAGAATAACAAAATGGAATATAAAACTAAAATCAGCTATTTAACTAATGGTCTTGTGTTGTCTTCTTCTTGGCAACAAACTTCTCTATACTTTTTCACTTCAGCCATATAGAGTGACCAAGCATCCTTAGGTTGTTCAACGGTTTGTTCAGTCTTTGGTTTAGCAACCATACCGGTTTTTAAAATTCTTCCTCCTCGCCTCTTGCCCACCATTAAAGGTGGAGGAACAACAGTTTTCTCTTCCAAAACTGAAGTGGTTGGTTTTTGTGCAGGTTGCATTTGTTCTTGCATCTTTTTGAACATTTCCATGAAGCTACCATCATTTTTAAAAGCATTAGATTGTGAAGGAACAATTGGTTGCGTTGCAGTAGTCTCGGTACTTTCTTCAGCAGTATCTGATTCATAAGATGGTGCCCTATGGTATCTGCGGCTTTCTCTACCTCTATGTCTGTCTCTACTCCTGTTGCGGCTACGGCTACGTCTCCTATCTCTGGAACGTGATCTTGCTCTTGACCTGGATCTTGATCTATCTCTTCTAGAATATTTCCTCGATCGATCCCTGTCCCTGTCTCGATCTTTATCCCTAATGTCAGGCGATCGTGATCGTTTGTGCGACCTACTCGACGGAGATTTCGAGGTACTGCGTCTTCTTCTACGTCTGTCCTGTGGCGAATCATTTCTGGATGTTCTACTGCTTCTGTACTCCAAAGGTGACGGTGAACGACGTGATGATATTCTGTTTTTGTACCCATCGTATGTTGTATAACTTGAACTATACAGAGGAGGCGAAGGTAGAGCAGGTGGTGAATCTGTATTGGACTTGGAGCTGCGTTCATGCCGCTTTGAATCCATTGTCGCGCTTGTGTGCCTCTCTCGCCAGGCTGAATGGACAGATGGACACCTATAAGGATAGAAACTGCCTTCTATGAGTACACTGCTCATTTCTTCTTACCACGCCTTTATCTGATTGGTTTTAAATGTACGCGTTTGCGAGAGACAAGCGGATTTATAGCGAGAGATCAAATGTACTTTAAATTGAAACAAACACAATGAGAGTTCAATCGAAGCTAGGATTTTATACTTATCAATAAATGAACATATAAACTTGGTCCAAATACTTGTTGCACGCTAAAATCAGTAAAAATCCAGCTTTGATTGTGTGCCTATCTAAACATATTTCAATAATTTAATATAGTTATTTATTTCTAATAAATGTTAATATTTTTATAAAATATACTTCTATTGT